TAGGTCCATAAAAGGCTATTAGCCAGGGGATAAAATGGTGTCCTTGGCCTCTGTTTGTCAGAGGCTGGAGAGGGATGGCAGGAGACAAATCGCTTGATCATTGTCTTTGGTCCACCCTCTCTGGGGCACCTGGTGCTGGCCACTGTTGGTAGACAGGATACTGGGCTAGATGGACCTTTGGTCTGACCCAGTACGGCCGTTCTTATGTTCTTATATGTTAAAGGAGTTCTGAGCATCATGCCTACACAGAAGCTAGTTGTTAACTATATGGAATTTGTGTCCTTGGCTCCTCCCCTTTATCTTGAGGTTTTGGGACATTCAGACTTTACATCTACAACTTCAGTTGATACCAAGAGTTCATCTGGGAAGAGCTGAGTAAAAAAAAAATCTTCCATTTTCTCTCCATAGAGGTTGAATATTATTGGTAAAATATCTACCATATTCGGGGGAAAAAATGGAAACCTCCATTATAGTATGGATAGTTTAAGTCTTCAATTGCTTATGTAAATATATTTTTTAAACCAGAGATACCAAATATTAACTGAGTGGCATGCACAATAAACTAACTAATGGAAAATCTATTCTTTCTGAATGTGAAGGAGACAAGAGCATAATTCTGTTTTCCCTGATTATATTGTTCATAGTTAAAACTGTTTTTCTGTTGCTTGTTTAAATGTGGCTTTATCTGATGTCAGTAATTGTTACTTGAGAAATAGAAATCATGTACTTGCTTCCTTGGTGAACAAAAAGACGTTCACTTAAACATTACAAATCCATAAAAGCGAATTCCGTATGTGTGTTTGGTTAATGATTGGAATCTCATACAGGTTTTGTAATTTAGAAAAAAAAAAACCTTCTAAATTTGATTTAATATTTCTTAGCAAATAAGTTTGTCTTGCAACAAGCTTTTTAGTTGAATGCAAGTCTTTTTAATTTAGACTTTGGGGTAAGTAAATGCTCATTTAAATTTCAAAACATACCTTACTATTTCCCCTAAAATGTGTGGGTTTTTTTTCTATCTGCTTTTTTTCCCCAATCATAATTCACTGTTTGAGATTTTAAAGAGCAAATTGTCAGGCTCTGATTGTTGAATCCTCTGTTCTTTTAAAGGGGAACAGACTTTCTTTACAAATAGAATGACCATCATAAAAGTTACTATATTCTTGAGTAAACTTAATTTGCCTTGGGCATTCAACAGCTCATCTAGGAAAGTTGTTTTATGGATTTTAAAACAAATTTCTGTTAATCTTTTACCATGCAATCATATGACACCAAAACCAGAGAACTTTAAAGGAATCCCATAATGCCAGACTGCAAAAAATGAAATGTTTTCCAGGTACCACTTTCAAAACTCAGAAGCAGCAGAAAGAAACTCTGAACAAACAACCGAATAAGCCGTGGAAGAAATCTCAAAGTAAGGAAACCATGTCAGCTATCTGAACTAATATTAAAAATGCCTTCTTGAGGAACAGAAGAATGACTAGTGCAAAACTGGCAAAGTACCTGGTCTCTAAGTATGATCAAGCATGTGTCTTCCAGACTTGTGAAGTTCCTTACTGGCATGTGTAAAACACCAAGGAGTTGCTGCTAGAAAATCACTTTTTAAGGAATGAAATGTGAATAAAACTTTAAAGAGCAAATGTTATGAACAGTATTAAAAAGATCTGGTGGAACTTCTTGGAGACTGGCATTAGAATATTCAGAAATGAAGAGAAGACAGAAATGATAACCATGTACATTGGCAACAGTGAAACATGGTGGACATTCCCTTCAAGTTCAGGAATACATCTTCAACAGCAAACTAGATTCTAAGATAATGGAATACTTACAGTGAGGCAGTGCAGTTAATGAATAATTGAAAACTATCAGGATTACAGTTTAGTAGCTGGAACCACATTTATAATGTACCAGTCTCTAACCTTGCAATAACTATAATATGGAAAATCCTTGAATTGGCAAGAAAGCAAGATGATGGAACATTAGGTGTAAAACTTGGCAAATGCCACTGTAAGAGTGCTGAGACTACTGGACTAGAAGGACAATAAAAGGGGACAGGCGGGTTGGAATCTTATTACCAGAAAAAAATCAGCCACAAGATGTGTATGGAAAATCATTTTCTAGACTAATGGCTAAGGGAGTTAGCATATCTTATGCGATCATGTTGTTATTAATTTCTGTGCTAGTTAAGTAACAAATGGATTTAGATCTCATGAAATGTGATTGCATATTTTTTTCTCCGCAGTTTCTCAGTCTCTAAATGAAATGTTAGAACATAAGTGTAAGTGCAGGGAAATCTTTAAGGAAGGAGATTGGTTAGACCAAGTAAAGGTGTAAGTGATGCATCGTCCCAAGGAAATTCTAAACTCAGTGGGTCAGTTATCGGTGTCTAAAGTTCAGGAAATAGGATTTTCTTTTCTTCAGAAAATTATAAACTAGCACTCAAGGTTAGTGGATGAATCTTTGCAAGAAATGTATATACAGTAGAGCAGGAAAACATTTTCCACAGTAACTGTTTATGCAGTGCATAAATTATATGGAAAAATCTACAGTCTAACTTGTTGACTTCTGAATCCTAGCTCTGTGCTTTCAAATGTTTCTGAAAAGCAAATAACAGAGTGACAGCTGTGCAGAGGGGGAAGTATAATGAAATAACAAATTTCTATGTAAGATATACACAAGATGCTAACAAACGGTCTCTTCTGAGTTTTGACTGCAGTCAATACTGTGTGTTTGTTTTTGTAATTGATATCTTAATTTACACATTTTTATACCAACAGCATCCTCAAATCCAAAAGCTGCTCTAAAGTCGAAGATTGTTGCTGAATTCAGAGTAAGTTAAGCAAGTCAAGATATCTTTTGTATTAATCTCTGTCCTTTCACTGTAATGATCTCAACTAGTTTGTTTTAAAGGCAGTCCCCGGGTTATGTACAAGATAGGGACTGTAGGTTCGCTCTTAAGTTGAATCTGTATGTAAGTCGGAACTGGCGTCCAGATTCAGCCGCTGCTGAAACTGACCACCAGTTCTGACTTACATACAGAATCAACTTAAGAACCCCAAGTGTCCCCAAGTCAGCTGCTGCTGAAACTGATCAGCAGCTGATTCCAGGAAGCCCGGGGCAGAGCAACTCTGCCTCGGGCTTCCTCTAGTCAGCGCTGGTCAGTTTCAGCAGCGGCTAAATCAGGCGCCTGGGGCAGAGCAGCTGGGGTGCTGCTGGGTTGCTCCAGTAGCGCCGCTCCTCGGCACTACTGGACCAACCCAGCAGCACCCCATCTGCTCTGCCCAAATTAATAAGAATGAGAAATGTTTTCTTTGGAAAGACGAAGCAAATGATTTGAAGGTATGTGAAGGTGAAAAATGAACTCTGTAGAAGTGTAGAAAGAATTAGGCGAATGTTGTAATATATGAAAAGAAACCTGCTTTAAGAAGTGACCTTGCTAACCTGTCCCTCCCTTAACCCAGCCAATCTTTTACCGGAGACAGAACAGCAGGAACACGACTGCTTGGAGATAATAGATGCCCAATACTCCAGCCGTCCGGACTTAAAGGATCAACCGCTCCCTAATGCGGATTGTGAGTGGTACACTGATGGTAGTAGTGTTGTGGTAGACGGGCAAGGGAGGACGGGCTACGCTGTCGTGACCCTCCACGATACCGTGGAAGCCAAGGGTTTGCCTGCTGGGACATCTGCCCAGCTTACTGAACTGGTAGCCCTGACCCGTGCGCTCGAACTGTCAGAGGGAAAACGGGTCAACATCTTTACCGACTCCAGATATGCTTTTGGAGTACTACATGCTCATGCTGGTCTGTGGAAACAGGAGCAGCCCGGGCAGCGGGGCAGCTGCCCCGCTGCCCGAGCCCCTCCGCGGCTTTGCTCTGCGTCTTCGTGGTCTGCAGACCAGGGAGACGCAGAGAAAGCCCCAGAGTACACGGGCGGCAGGACCGCGAGGTCCCGCAGTCCGTGTACTCCAGGGCAGCCCCATTCGTAACTGTCGGATCCGCGTAAGTCGGGGACTGCCTGTATATCCAAGTGTTGTTGGGGCTTGATTTGAAACTATTGCCCTCCATGTTTATTTGTTCATTGCTGTATAGTGTGCACAATGCCCTGAGGCTGCAAGCTCTGCAGAGCTGTATGTAGCTTGTTCTGTAATGTGTTGTGTATGTTGGTGCTATTTAAAAATAGGGTGTGTAAATAGAGCCAGGGAGTGGGGACAGGTCCCATTTTGCTATGAAATTAAGCAGATAGAGGCAATTAATTCTTTTACATAATTTAGAATTACCTGCTGCAAGAAAATAATTTGCTGCCTTGTTAAGAACTGGACCTTTTGTAATCACAGAGTATAATTATATGATTGCACATGGTTTTAATCGTAGGTCTAGAAGGGACCTCCAGAGTAAGGATGTTAAAATGTGTGTAATTGGCTAATCATGTAACTGGTTGCACGGTTACACACAAGGTGGCAGTCAGCTTACCAGGAGCTGTCTTAAAAGCCAGTTCCCAGCACACACCAGTTCCTGCCTGCCACTCTGCTCCTGGAGAGCCAGCTGCTGTCCCGCCTACTGCTGCTCCCCAGAAGCCTGACTAGGAGCTACATGTAACTGTTTGGGTAACCAGTAAGCTCATGCTTATCAGTTACCTGTTGAAATGGCTACTCTCTTACATCACTATTTCAGAGGTCATCTAGTTCTGTGATTTTCAAAGTCCAGGTCGCAACCCAGTACTAGTTCATGGAAAGTCAGGCACTGGGTTGCCTTGCTGTAAGGTGCCAAGGTGACTAGCGGGGGTTTTAAGGCTAGTTTCCTGCCTGTCCAAGCACTGCAGACCGTGCTGTGTCCTGGAAACAGTTAGCAGCAGGTCCAGTTCCTAAGTGGAAGTGAGTAGCAAACTCTCACGAGATTAAAAAGGCAAAACAAGCCAAAAAATGAAGCTGTGTCAAAATAAGCTCCATCCATTTGTGCGTGGCAATATCTGGAGACAAACAGGAACCAGCCAATGGGAGTGGGGAGCCACAGTTTGGGGTGAGGACAGCTGCTGGAGCTGGAGCTGCTGCTGGCCAGTGTCCTAGGACAGGCAGGAAGCTGCCTCACCATCCCATTGCATCACTGACCGGGAGCCACCGGAGGTAAGCCTATGCCCCAACAATCCCCTATCCCAGCCCTGAGCATCCGTAAACCCAGAAATCCCTCCATACCTCAAACACCTCATCCCTCAACCCCATCCCATAGCAAAAGTTATTTTACTGCTATAGCTTAAAGCAGGTCCCTGAATGGAGTTAGCTATACTGGGAAATGGACTTTTTGCCATTATAACTGCATATACCCTAATGCTTTTGTTTGTACAGCTACAGCAGTTGAGGGTATAATTTTTTCCACGCGCCTAACGACAGATGTAAATATTAGTTAAAAAAACCATATAGCGGATTAAAATGTTAATAAGTTATCCAGTTAAACATTTAACTGGGGAATTAGAGGTGCAGAGGGGTATTTCAGTACACTCACATTTTACACTGGGGCTTCTGTCTGCCAGTGCCAAGGTAGCAGTAGAATCCTGGGCTTCAGCCAGCAGCTGAGTTTAATCGTTAACGGTTAACTGAAACTGAGAAGGCTGATGCTGTTTGGCTAACTGGTTAAACATTTACATCCCTACACCTAATTAGTATCTATGCCAGCAAATCTCTCATTTACCATACTTAGAGGTCTGATCATCACCTTGTGGTTTCAGTTCCGTTTGGTATGACTTACATGAATTCAGAGAAACATATGGTTTATTCCAGCATCAGTGAAAAAGCCTCTGCTTTGATAAGTGGCAGTTTCTCAATGGAATACTTATTTGTTACTTAAAAAAAGGTCCATGGTGGTAACACTTCAAAATCATGGCTTCTCTTCTGCAGAACGTAATGAGGCTTGTGTTGTTTTTTCAGCCACAGTCCCTCGTTGATGAATTGTTGTTTTATAAACGTTCAGAAGACCAGATAGAGTTGAAAGAGAAGCAACTTTCTACTATGAGGGTGGATGTATGCAGCACTGAAACACTTAAATGCTTAAAAGGTACAAGTCATGGTATCAAAGGAAACCATTTACGAGTAGTTTTAGTAATTCATTAGATTTCTGCCTTTGTTTGCTAATGAATTTCAGATTGTACTTTGACATCATTTAGCATTCTACAATTAACGCACTTTTGGAAGTTTCAACTCCTTTTATTTAAAAATATACAGTACTTCAGAAATCTGCTTTTTTGATCCAGTACACTACAGCAGTATTGATTGATAGCTGTTACTGTAATATTTCATAAGCCACAGGATGGAAATGTTTGATTTTAGTTATGAGCACATCAGCTGCCTTTGAATGTACATAATCTCCCAATATCTTGGGTTTCATGTATAGTAGATCTTGTAATCTTTTACAATGGTTTTTAATTAGTTCTCCTAGTGCATGTTTGAATGTATTTATTTTTCAAATAACTTTAAAATGCACATTGTGCCCTTATAAAGTACAAAACTCCAGAGTACTTGTCCCCAAGGTGTAGTAACACTTTCAGCTGTGAGATTGAGCCTGAGATCTTGTGCACCAGAAGCATGACTCTGCTTCTTGAGCTAAAGGTGTAACTGCAGATAGCCCAAATAGGCTGTAGCCTTTGTAGCTGGCTATGAGAGCGGGATGGAATACTTCATCAGTTTAGTACCTAGCTTGCATGGAGGTAAGAGCCATGGGCCAGATTTACAAAGGTATTTATTTAAGTGTGTAACGTTGCAGATTGGCATCTGGTGAGATTTTTCAGAAATGCCCACCTGTAGCTTTAGACACCAGTTGCTTAGTTCTTCAAAAAAGCTATAATAATTTAAGATTAGGGAAATTATGTAAACTTGAGTATCTGGAACAGAGTAGAGGGGGTTGACTGCAGCACCATCTACAACCGATTTTTGGCGTATCTTTGACCCACTAAATTGACTATTGTGGCTTGATCTAAGAGCATCGATCCAGGCTGTAGTGTAGACACAATCTAATTATCTCCTAAAAACAGTGAAGCGCACATATCAGCTTACTGGGCATTAATTAGTGTGTGTCTGTGTGTGTGTGTGTGTGTGTGTAGAGCTGTGTTTATTCTAGGTGAGGTAATCTACATAATGTCATTTGTCTTTAATATCTCTCTCAGACAAAACAGGAGGAAAAAAGTTTTCCAAAGAATTTGAAGAAGCAAGTTCAAAGTTAGAAGAATTTGTAAATGGTTTAGACAAGCAGGTGAAAAATGGCCCCTCACTAATTGAAGTGCTTGAGAATGCTGGTATCTTTTATGAAGCACAGTATAAGGAAGTCAAGGTAGTAGCAAATGTAAGTGCAAAACTTTCCCCAGTAGCAAATATCTTAATGGTATTGCATTACTAATAACAGGACCTAATGAAGTATACAAACTGGTATGGTTATGGATTATAGAAATCTGTTAAATCATCAAGCCCTCTTAAAGTAATACTCTTGGCTAATACTTGGGGATATGTATGAAGATAAATGCTAAAATTATTTAGTTCAGTTTTCCAAAATGTCTTCTGAGTCATGTAGATAGATAATCAGGGTTTATCTGCATGTTAAATTTTGCATTAGATAAATGATTGATAAAATCTCCTTGTACTAATGAATGATGTAGAAATTTTGTGTTTAAAAAAGAGCAGAAATGATGGAGGTCCACTAATGAGCTCATAATTTGACTTATCCTTTTTCTTGTGTTTTGCAAAGTTTTTGCATGTGAAGAAGGAAAAGTTTCATTTATTAGGCTGAGTGTAAAGTTAACTACAAGAAGTTGAATACCTTTAGTAATCAGAGATTGACCTTTGGGTCCTCATTTCTTGAAGCATTAACAAAAATGGATCTGAAAAGATTCTTCCAACAAAAACATTAACTAAATGGAAGAAGTAGTTACATGAATATCCCTTCTGAGGCCTTTGCTCTACCTGTCAGATTGAAAAGTGAAATACATAATGCGGGGGCAGAGTTGAACATGCTGCTATTGATACTATAAATGTTACAAAGATACGTTGTTTTCCTTTAGAAAAAAGGACACCAACTTAAATATGCTTTTTGTGTGTGTATTAGGCTTATAAAACATTTGCCAACAGAGTGAGCAATCTAAAGAAAAAATTAGATCAACTGAAAGCAACTCTTCCTGATCCTGAAGAGTCTCCTGTCCCTTCTCCAAGTATGGATGCTCCATCTCCAACTGGTTCTGAGTCCCCTTTCCAGGGAATGGGAGAAGAGGATGTCGTCCAGTCTCCAGTGGTGGAAAGTGAGACATCTCCCTCTCCCCAACCTGTTGCAGACAATCGGGATGTGGAGGACATGGAACTGTCCGATGTGGAAGATGACACGTCTAAAATCATTGGTATGTTCTGTGGAAGAAGCCATAAAATAGGCTTATCATTTTATACAATACTGTCTAGGCAAAACAGCTTTTCAAACCTCATTTAGGAGTAAGATGACGAGAAACTTTCCTTCTTTTGGGAACATTGCCAGTGCTCCAGTAAAAACAGGGAAGCTATGATGTTCCTAACTTAAAAAACCTCTCCATGTCCTTCTGTGAAGGCAGGGGACTGGACTCGATCTTTCACGGTCCCTTCCAGTTCTATTTTATTTATTTATAGATATAGATATAGATATATCTCCATATATGAGGCTGTGCTTAAATACCTAGCAGTTCAAGTAAAGGGCATGAACAATGCCTTTTCCACTGAGCCTTTAAATTAGTTTGTGTTAAACCTGGGACACACAGAGAAGCTTGCAGCTCTCACGCCAGAAGAATTCTGTGAAGCATATTGAACATTCCATGTTATCTCTTTTATGTTTGAATTAGTGGAGGAAAGGAAGGAGAAACAGGTTGCTCCTTCTTCAGCACCTGCAAAGACTGAAAGTGTCCCAAAAGCAACACCCTCCATAGTGGTCGCTGCTACACCAGCAGTAACAACTTCAGCTCCGACTCCACCAACTCCCAAGACAGTGAGCACAGTCCCTGTCCCTCCATCGCCAGCACTTGGTCTGCCAAACCTTGCCAATGTTGACCTGGCAAAGATCAGCTCCATTCTTAGCAGCTTGACTTCTGTTATGAAGAATACAGGTGAGGCTCTGAATTGCAGCTTGTGACTGAGTGTTGCTTTTCAGCAGAAACAGGATTCTGCAGTGTACAAGCAATAATTTCCTTGCTCAGATCTTTTTTTGTTTCTGTACCATTTTAGAAGCAAACCATTGAATTGTAATTCAGTCTGTACTTCAGACAGAGAGCTGTAACTTACTGATACTAAGTGCCCTCTCATATTAGTTTTTAAATCTTCTTTTTAAGTCAGTGGTTCTCAAAGTGGTGTCCACAGACCATGACCATCTTGCAGGTGGGCTTGGGGCGTGGCCCTCCTCTCTAAAGCAGGAAGCCGTCACTGGCACTCCATCCCCATCATTCTCTTCCCCATCCTCCCCCACTGTAAAGTTGGAGTACCAGCTCTGGCTTCCCGCTGCAGGGGGATGGAGGGAGGCAAATCTCATGGGCAGGATCCAGCTTGGAAGCTTATCCCACTGCTGCCATTGGCTGGAATCTTAGCCTATGGGAGTGGCAGGAGGCAGAGTCAAGTAAGTGCCCCCATCCCCTCCGTGCCCAGACCCTGCACCCCCAACCCCTTCACACACACAGCTTCCCACCAAGACCCTGCATCCAACCTCCCACCAGACTCCCCCCTCATCCCCTAACCCTCACGCTGCTCCTGCAGCCTATCTCCTGGCCAGAACTTGCCCCCTCACCTTCTGCTGCGCCCATTTTGTCATCATGGGTGGTTGGCTGGTGGTCAGAAGAAAGCTCTGCATTGAACAGGGTGGGCTGTTCCAAGTGATTTAAGGGCATTTGTAGTGTGGAGTTTCAATGTGGAATGTGGTGCTACCCAGGACTATGCACCATAGTGATCTTAGTGTGTCTGTGCTAGGGTTCCTACTGCTAACACTGCAGTGGTGAAGGTGACAGTGTTAGTTGTAGTCAAGGCTTCCACAGCTGCTGTCATTTTTAATCATGTAGGTCTGTGTGATGCTGTTAAATGCTAGAGGCCTCAAGAACCTTAACCACACTAGCACTTTATTATAACTCTGATATTAGTAGCAGTATGCTTGAGCTGAATATTTATCTACTGTTTTCATTGCTCTTTGAAAGTAGCATTTTGTGTTTCTGAGCAGCAAATGTTTTCACCTCAGGGGTCAGTCCTGCATCAAGACCTTCCCCAGGAACCCCAACAAGCCCCACGACTCTTACTAGTGGCCTGAAGACACCTGTTGTGGGGACTCCATCTGGTCCTCCAAATCCATTGGCAAATATTCTTTCCAAAGTTGAAATAACTCCTGAAAGCATTTTGTCAGTTCTCTCCAAAACCCAGACCCAGACTGCACCAACATTGCAAGGTCAGTATATTGTGCAAAAGATGTGGATTTTAAATAAATAGCATCTATATTTGGATGGCAGCATCGCTGTCAAAACATTCTACTGTGTGCACTTCTGAAACAAGAATTTATCTGGAAGGAAATTAGCTTGTATAGGTAATGCTTTTTCCAAATGTAAGTTACCTTTTGGAAGGTAGTGCATTTAGTATGGGCAAGTAAATTTTGCAACAGATTCAGGGAGTGTGTGTTTAATCTTTTCAAAATCTCTTTAAAATCTGTTAATGTTGGATACCATCCTGGAATGTTTTATATTTGCTTTTTTTTAGTTGCAACTTTTATGACCTAATTTTAGTCGTTGTAGTACAAATAGCGTTAATATTTTTATTAGCTGAACTTCACCCTGGCTTTTCAGTTTGCCAATTAATTACGTTGAATGTGTTTCCTAAAATCTAATGTTGCATGGAAAAACGTAGCAGAGCAGGGGACCCACAAGTGAGTGCCTCTTGGATTCTTTTGCTAGCTCTGGGAGGGAGTTTTAGTGGTTTGAGCAGGGGGGTTAGGAGTGGAGGACTCCTAGGTTTCTGGGGCAGCGGGGCAGTGGGATTTTCCTCTATTGCTTGCTCATATGATCTTGGTTAATATCACTTCTACGATTCTGCTTAACTATCTGTTACATGTACATAATGTCTACGTGGCTTATAAAGTATGGCATACGTCTATTGATAAAATAAATTTGAGATCAAAAGCCCTATGGAAATACAAAGTAATTAGTAATATGTAGAGATCGCAAAGTCTTTAACCATTTTGTTGGCTCAGATTTCAGATAGTTTCAAAAATTTAAGTTTGTAGTTTCTCTGCCTACAAAACCAATCACAATGAACGCTTAGCATGAGTTTTCTTTTGAAATAGTTGTAGGTTATTCTGCCTCTTAAAATATCTATTTAAAATATTTTGTTTTGTTTAATCTCCAGGTTTGTCATCCTTACTGCAAAGTGTTGCTGGAAATACAGCTCAATCAAGTGAAACAGCATCTCAGAGCACTTCAGCATCACCAGCCAATACAACTGTTTCTTGCGTGAAAGGAAGGAATGTTTCTTCCAATACTCAGTCTTTTATGTCCAAAAATTTTGGTTATTCTCCCAATTCTTCTACTGCTGAGGTCTCTTCAACTTCTGTTAACAAGGCTCCTGTTGGACATAGCCCAGGGCTTTCAAGTTCTAGTTTTAAACCACCAACAAATTCCCTTGGATTTGCTAGTACCCATCCTACTAGTCCTTCCCTTTTACCAACAGAAACCACATTGAGTCAGTCCTCTGAGATTTCAAAAACAAAGCTGGAGTCAGAACCCACCTCTCCAAGCCTGGAAATGAAGATACACAATTTTTTAAAGGGAAACCCTGGTTTCAGTGGTCTAAACTTGAATATTCCAATTTTAAGCAGTTTAGGGTCCAACATCACATCAGAGAGCCATTCATCTGACTTTCAACGTGCTCCTACCAGCACTTCTATGGATAATGTGGATGGGACACCAGTCCGTGATGAACGCAGTGGAACACCAACCCAAGATGAGATGATGGATAAACCGACATCAAGCAATGTTGACACTATGTCTTTATTATCAAAGATAAGTCCTGGATCTTCTACTCCCAGTAGCACAAGATCCCCTCCTCAGAGCAGAGATGATGGATATCCTCAAGAACTATCTAATTCTGTGCCTGCCTATAGGTCTTTCGGTCTCGGCAGGGATTCTCCAGCCAGCATGTACAAACAGTCCTCCGATAACATGGAAATACCTTCTTCTTTAATGGAGTCTCCTCAGGAGAAGTTTTACCCAGACACATCTTTTCAGGAAGATGAAGATTATCGTGACTTTGAATATTCTGGACCACCACCATCTGCCATCATGAACCTGGAGAAGAAGCCCGCAAAATCTATTTTGAAAGCAAGTAAGCTTTCTGATGCTGCAGAGTACCAGCCAGTTCTGTCTAGTTACAGTCAAAGAACACAGGAGTTTAGTGTGAAGTCGTCTTTTCCTCAGTCTATGAGGTCTATTCTTGATCAGAATGAGAGCTGTGATCCACTGTCGTCATCTTCTGGAGTGTACGGAAGTTACGGCCTACGAGCAAATGACTCTGGATCTGATGGTTCCCCTTCGCCTAGTAAGAATGATGTGTTTTTCACACCAGACTCCAATCATAATAATTTATCAAAACCTGTGCTACATTCTGGTCTGTCACAAAAACAGTATCCAGATTCTCCCCATTCACTTCCTCACAGATCAGTCTTTCCTCCTCAAAACTCTCTTTCAAAAATCCTGCTGGTAGACCACCCACATCCAGTGTGGAAAAATCTTTAAGTTCTTCCATTTCTGCTACTTCAACAATTGAGTTTAAGAACATGCTTAAAAATGCATCTCGCAAGCCTTCTGAGGAAAAGCATTTTAGCCAGGTTTCTAAAGGTAGCTCACATGAAGGGGTTAGCCTGTCTAGTCTCAGCCAGGCTGGAACCTCTACAGGAGACCAGCAGCAAGAGGAACACTATCGTATAGAAACTAGGGTGTCGTCATCTTGTTTAGACTTGCCTGATAGCACTGAAGAAAAAGGAGCCCCTATAGAAACTCTGGGTTACCATAATGCATCCAGTAGGGGAATGTCAGGCGAACCCATTCAGACAGTAGAATCTATAAGAGTTCTTGGGAAAGGAAATAGAGGACATGGGCGAGAGGCGACCAGAGTAGGCTGGTTTGAGCTGAGTAATACAGGTAATACTTTTGATAATGGGCCCTCGAGTGCTACAGAGCTGCCCACCATGAGTACTGGCAGTGGAATTGCCAGCTTTCAAACACAGTACAAAGAACACGTGCCACAATTTCAGGAGAGTGTAAACAGTTTCAGAACAAATAATTTCAGCACTGCCTTTGAGCGTCACATCCCACCTCCTCCCATAGAGCATGGAACTCCTTTTCAGAGGGAACAAGTTGGTCCACCTGCTGGGCCCTCATCTGCTCCACCCAAGGATCATGGAAGCCTGTTTCCTAGGGATCACTCAGTTCCTTCACACATGTCATCAGTGGATCACACTAGTCCTTTTTCAAAAGAAAAATCCTCTTCACTCTCATTGCCTCATGCTGCCCCTCCTCCTTCTTCTGTGGAACATAGCGGGGTTCCATTTCCTACTCCTCCCCCTCCACCTCTCTCCGTGGAACATGGTGGCGTTCCATTCCCTACCCCGCCGCCACCTGCTGGGGAACATGGTGGCATTCCATTTCCTGCCCCTCCCCTCACCGTGGAACATGGTGCTGTCACGTTTTCCAAGGATCACGGTACTATTCATCAAGGAACAATAAATGTGCATTCAGGATCAAGGGAAATTGTGGCCCCAGCTCAGCGAGACCACAGCGGTCCGTCCCTTGGTCGAGTTCGAGAAAATATAGGCCTAACTTCCCTTTCAAGAGATCAGCTTGGGCCAACCCATAGCGTTCCTCCCATTGGCCCACCTCAGAGAGACAATGTAAACCGGAGTGGAATGATGATTAGGCCAGACTTTAGGCCTAGGGAACCTTTCATAAATAGAGACCCATTTCACAGCTTAAAAAGGCCTCGGCCACCTTTTGGAAGGGGCCCTCCATTCTTTTCACCAAAACGCCCATTCTTTCCTCCCAGGTACTGAAACAGACCTGCGTCTCTGTAAGTGAAGGTATTTTGGATATTCTAGAGAGCAGTGGAAGTAGTGCTTTCACTTTTGTTTTTCCTTAAAGGGCCCCATAACATTTTTCTAAATTAAATATGTTCTGGTACTTTTTTTGGTTGTTTATTTTTTTAAGCCATCCAGTTGGCATAAATCTAGAAAAATGTTTTAACAAAAAATAAGAAATTTCCGAAGAGTATTGCCGTTGAAATAAAACTTATAGTCGTAAAAAATGATTGAATGTGCGATGTTGGGATGTTATTTTTAGCTGATTACCAAATTGTTTTGCCTCACGAGTCCTCTGAACCCATGTCAAAAGATAGAGGTGGGGGAAGGAACTCTGTTGCTACTATTGAATAACGAAAATAAAGGGTCCAAACTTACAAAGCCTTCCCTGTGGCAATAGAAATATTAACCCTTCCTTGTGCCTTTTGTTTAGGTTTATCAGTCACTTTTTTCACTGATGTCTGCTCAGTCAGTCCCTTGCTATGAAGCCTTGTACATCTCACTGCTTGTCATTTTCCCGCTTTTGGTGGTAGGAATAGGGACAGGGTAGTCAGCAAACAAGGTCAGTTTTTCAGCCCTTCTGTTTACTTTTTCTGCCTTTCTCAGAATGCAAAAGGGGGGGGGGGACTCTGCTTTTCATGGTTGATGGTTTTTGTCACTGAAGATCTTTTTTCCTAAGTTGGGTTTCAGAAAACAGTCTCTAAACTATGCGTGCTTCCTATCTCCAACTTTACTTCCTTCCTCAACGCAAGAGGGTTATTTTGCGGATTATAAATCAAGTAATGCATTTAAAATAAGTGGATGCAGGAAGGTAGCTAGTGGTAAAACTCAAATCTGTGCTTACAAATTTAATGTATACAGTGTATATTTGAAGCATATGCCTACATACACATGTACAAACTGTATCATCTTTTTTTGTCTTACACCACAGAGATAGGCCAGTTCTAGTAAACTATATTTACTTTTTTGCTAGGAGTATCATTGACTTACATGTACTCTTCACTTTTTGTAATCACACCTTTCATTGTGATTTGTTTGACGTACATAATTCCATGTAAGATATGAGAGAGACCACATGCAGAAATGTGGAACCAGTACCTGACCACTCTTCTGACATGTTCTCATAAATTCTCTTCTGCAGCCATGTGCATAGAGGATGTGTGGAGTTGGAATTACTTTATTTGGTTTTTTTGAGTGAGTAGAATGCAACATATTAGTGTTTGATAAAGGTATGGGGGAAAATTCTATACAAATAACTACAAAATGAGAAAATGGCAGAGCATTTGTGCTTGGGCTGTGTGTTTTATTTCACACACACACACATATATATATATATAATAGGTATGATTCTATTTGCATACAAAAGTAAGTGAATGGAAGATTGTATTGGTGTATTCTGTTGAATGGCCCTGGGTTTGGAAAAAGAATGATGTTATAGTGCCAATGCATAAAAACCTTTGTTAGTTTTCTAACCTTAGAACAACAGTGTGTGTTCTACTTCATTTTGCAGTCAGCAGCAGATGTTTCTGCTGTTTATCTATAAAGGGTATATTTAGACATCATCGTGGAATGGTACATCTTGTTGCATGGACTGTTTCAGTTAAACAGAATTCCTGAAAAAGTAACTGCATGTGCAATTCATGCAAACACTTGAGTATTTAAACTTTTTGGTTAATGTAATGGTATTCTTTTTCTGTTCCTTCTGAGTTCTGAAGACACTGCAGCTCCTTTCAGTGAGCCTTCAATATGATTATTAAATGGATAGCGCACCAAAATACCTACTGTGTAGGGTAGCTTGTTAAGCCTAATCTTCAGAAATTAAAAACAGCAGTAAAGATATACAGCAAGAAAACTACACAATAAGAGGTGAGAATTCACTTATCCCGTGATATGAAGTAAGATGCTACAACTCCGTTCCCTAGACACCAGCACTCAGAATGATCATATTTCTTATTAGTGAGAATAAATGTACTCACCTACAAAACAACCCAAGATGGAAGAATGCTTAGGTAAGCATTAGTTTCATTATAGTCCCAAAGTCCACCCATACAGCTCTTACATTTTAGGATTTGTAGCTCATGGATTTTAAAAAAATGTTTGATGTTAATCTCCAGCACTAAAAAAATGAAAACATTTTACAGCTTTTGATGTATACTGGAAGTGACACATAGCTTAGCCCAACTTCTTTGCTCTACCGGAACATTTTAAATGAAGCTTTCTGTACCAGCCTGGCATTCTGTTTGCTTCAAACCTAAACTACGCAGTCCCATTACTTTAATACCTATGCTGGCTTGAAGGGACAGTTTCAGAGAAGTCATAGCTTAAAAATATTTTGTTGGAGGAAACAGAGGGTGAAAAGATGCAGGAGGTTCTGATGTAAGAATGAAACCAATGTTGAATAGAAAACAAAATGCTCTAGAATAAAAGAATGTGAATTATTTCTGCTGCTCTTGCTTAGTGGTGATTTCAAGGTAAAAAATTACTAAGATCAGATGGTGACATCATCTAAACTCCTCCTCCTTGCCATCTGACATGCCTGGGGAGTGGCTCTTGGAAGTGGCTTTTTTGGTAACTTGTAAAGTAAAATGACTGATTTAAAAAAAACTCTCTGTAAAAAAAGACTATTTTAAAAACTTCATGTTTTTGTTTGAGACTTTTTGTTTTATTCTGTGCTTATTACTTTAAACAAATTGTCTACAGTAAGTGAAGACACGTGTACATATGTAGAACCACAAAACTTATATCTGGACATGAAGGCATTTATTCCTGTGTCTGTGATTTAAATCACCAACCGCTATTGAAATTCATGTATTTCACCTTATAAGAGAAAGAAATAAACATGTATTTTTTAAATAAAGCATGAAACAGTCTCTCTCATGAAGGACATAACTTCATAAAGAAGAAAATCAAATTGCAGACAGCCTTCAATGTTCAGTCCAGCTGTTCTAGAAACACAGTGAGGACAAACCAAACAATACATTGGTACAGCTTCACAGCAGTCAGTAGAATTAATTTTTACTAGAGGTTATAAAGACTTAAAATGTTTCCCTGTTTTAGACTTCTTCTAGTGTAATACAGATGTCACCAGATTTATGAATATGAACCATTTAGATTTTTACTGTCTCCTCAGATATGCAATATGCATGCCTGCCTCTTTGGAAAAATTCCAGATATGTATGGTGTGCATTTTATATCGGGGGGAGAGTCTACAGCTGTGGATGACTGTGATCTGAATACATTTAGAGACTTTTTACCCACAAAACATTGTTCAGGTGTGAGAAACCTGTTTAGATAATGTGAATAATAGTAACTTTTTAAAAAAACATGCAGAATAAATGATCATATGCGGAATTTAATTATTAAAAATAAGCTGCAGTGCTGTTGTTTCAAAACTGCTGTAAATATTGGCTGCTTTTTTGTGTGCCTGTTAAGATTAATTAGATATGTTGGATTTATATTCTCAGTGTTCCATGTGAAGAAAGCAACATGCATTAGAGGAAGCAACAATAAAACTGCAGATCATTTTGAATTGTGTATTAATACATTAATAAAATAACTAGTTCTAATGTTTTGATATTCTTTTTTAACCGGAACTTCTTTTAAGTGTACAGGGGGCGTAAGATTGGCTGGTCTGTGAAAATGATCAAAATATTGGGCTGAAGAGAGAACATCAGTTTTTTTTGCTCAACATTTGCAGTCTACAACAGCAGCCAGACTTCATCTTTGCTGAATTATAAATTTAGGGTTAGTGTTTTTAAAAAACAAAGAAGAATCTGCCTCCAGCTCTGGCTACATGACCATGTTTTGAAGAAGACAAATGTAAAACTATTGTTGGAAGATGACTGTTTCTTTTAATTGTACATAGAGGCCATGTTAACTAGCAGAGCACAACACAGAAATGGAATATCCTACCAATACTTGTAGGCTGAGACAACACTTAATTTCCCCTGCTCCCATTTATTTTTGTATTGCATAATAATAAAGTGTATGTTACTTTGTGTGGTTTCCTTTCAGAAGAGTATGTTCTTTGCACCACATTGCTGGCTACTGGCCTCTTGATCATACTCTTGTCATGTAATTTTGAAGGATAAAAATGTTGATTATTCAGGGCTTCTGGTTCTTTTTTGTTGGCTGAAGGATTGAATAACT